GCGTCAAATTTACCCCTCGTGTGTGAGGCAAAACTCGCACGGTAGGCAAAAAAATCCCTGCAGTCGATTCATTGTTGTCATTGTCATTGTCGTACGTCAAGTCTTGCACATTGTCGCCTGTCGCCGTGCCGATCCGATCTCAGCAACGTGCTCAGGAAAATCCGTCGTCATTTCGTCGTTTTGCCTCATTCTGCCGACATCGCCATGGATTCGTCATTTCATTGTGCATTGTATTCCATCGCCGTAGTCTTTAACTCATTGTAACTTAGGGAACGATTTGGCCCGCCGTCTATGACTATGCCCTCGAACCCAGCGTAGGTAGCTTAGGCCCCTTAGGAAGCCGTCGTTTAACTAACGTGTATGTATTTCTAGCTGCGTAGACGCAGTAGGTAAGGACGGGGTTCCGGTTCCGTAGCGTCCAGGGCCCTTTTCGTCTTCGCCGCCCCCAGTGTCGTGACGTTCGTACGACTTCTTAAAGGTCACGCCTGGTAGGGCGCGCGTGGGTCCTGGCGCGCCTGCCACTTCGAAGTTTCTGGAACAATGAAGACGCAGAGGACGCCGGGCCGAGTGAGTCAGTCTTCGTAGCTGCCGTCGTCGTGAGTGGCCGCGTCCCCCCTGCGCCCGTACTTTACGTCGCCGTAGCGGCCCGTCATCGCCGCACTTCCTGGTCCCGGTTCGACATCCAACAAGGACCGCTGGTCTGCCGTCAGCCGACAACTCGGATAAGAGTAGCGACCGGGTATGGAAACCCGACAAGTACGGACCGGACCGCGTCTCCCCCCGTGAGTTAAGATCTGGGTTCGACCTTTAAGCCGTAGGCGGTGAAGTACACCGTACCTCACATTTATTCAGAATTGTAACGTTATATATATCGTAGTTACATGAATCTATAATGTCACAGTTTACTTTTGATATAATAGGATTAGTCCAAGTGTATCTCATCTACATGTAGACGTCCATGTAGATTAAATAGAAGGTCCGTAGGCCGGGCCGTGAGACATTAATACGCCGTAGGGCAATGAGTAAGTTGGATTGGCATGTTGCGTACGAGAAATGTCTAGAATGGTCAGTTAGCGTAAGACGCTAATTGGGGCAGCACAGGGCCCAAAAGGGTAACTGTCCCGCGTGGCATAGTGGCGAGAGGCGGGCGCAGCGTAAGACCCCGTTTGTACCCTCGCGCCGACGCCGACGCCGCCCCTCTGCCGGGTGAACCCCGATGCTTCCGTGCGCAATGCGAGGAGCAAGGCGTCCGTGCCGGCGCGACATGGTGCATCGGACTGGGGTTCAACGTGTGGGAAACCCACGTTGGGCCTTAGTGATCGAGCCTAACCCGCGCTCGCCGCTAGCCAATTCGCTTCGGTAGCAGTCGTAGAGCAGTGCGCATGGCACGTTCGAACGCGTATGTCAATTCATAGGCGTTGCTATATAGGGCTACCCTGCTTTTTCCTCGTGTGGGACCTGGTTCTCACCTACGTCGACTTGAGTGGCACAAGCCGCCGTAGGGACAGCCGTTATACGTCGAACCAGCGTTAACTCCGTACGGACGGGAATCAGTTGCGACGGTGCAGTTGTTACTGTACTAGAGTCCTCCCGGGCATGGACCTGTTGTTTCTCCCAGGCATGATCCCGTGTTGCTGTTATACGCAGGTGCATATTGGCATATGCCGCAGATTTCGTCATGTGTACATAGCACTCCTGTTTATCATAGTGCCCTTTATGTGTTACTTCTGTGCTTCTCGACCCGTTGTACTCTTACATGCTATTCATTCGCTAATTCATTACGGTGTCTCTTGCCTGGCCAGCGTTCGCAATACACTCCCGTTTGCCGCCGTAGGGGGCTAGTGGCCAATAGCCACCCTGCGGACTAACACACATTCATTGTAAGTTAGTTTTTAGATTGGGTACGGCAGTACCACCTCCTGCCACGGTTCAAAATGTCTATTCTCGGTGCTAGTAAGGCCAACATAACCAAAGCAATTACCAATTGGGAAACCGTAAAAGGTAAGATCCCAGCATCTGTGTTCCAGTCGGTAGATGCTCAAATGTAGTGGTTCAATGCAGGCGCTTGAGCTACGCCGAGCTACAATACAGTCCTATTTAACGCAAGTTCGCGCAGCGCAGCGCACGCTTCACGGAGAAACGCCAAGCGTTTTTAGACGTGGTAAAAGATTTAGCTCAGTGAGGGCGAGACAGCGACGCCCAAGAAATTCTCTATTCAGGAATCTCGCGTAGACGGCGCTATTGCGACAGCTGAATCAATAATA